TCAGAAAACTATTACACTTTTGCTTTTTGCAAACCCGCGAAGAAAAAAACCTAACCCATGCAGGATCCATTTGTTTCGTCCTGATCTGCTTCTTCGTTGCTATCGCTCTAAAGGAAGATAGGAATAGAATCTTGTTAAGCACAAACAAAACTTCTGTACCTCTTGAGCAGATGAATCGTCACTTTCAGAGCTATATTCATCAGTAGTTGTGCTTTCGCTTGCGTAATTCAATTCCTCATCTTCGTCAAAAGTAACAGGATTGATCCCGGAAGCTGCAACATGTGTAAGATACATATACAGCCGAAACAATCTCCGTGGCGTAGTTATATAACACAGTCCAGGAGATCACAAGTCTTGACACAGAGCAAAGCATATGCGCATTTTGCGCCCTATAACAGGTGTGTTGTATTTGCTGTGCAGTAGAACTGCACTGTAACGGCGAGATCTGTTAGATGAAGAAGAATGAGAGAAATAGATCAAATGTAATAATCACAATCAGCATAATGGTTGACAACCTAAAATGGCATTTAACTTCGCTTATCTGCAAAAAGCAGCACAGGTACGTTAGAAAAGTGGTCAAAACAATATAAGCAAACAGCATGTGAAGAGGATGAAAGAAAAATTCAAAAAAAAACCGTAAAAATGAAAATTTCAAGGAAGAGCCGCATACCCCAATGCCTCGGCAGCCCTATGCGTACAAAATCAACCTCATGAGCTTCAGACACATCTCCAGCAGGGGACACATAATGAGTCTTGAATGAGCGATGGCCATCTTTCTAAAACGAATAACTGAATTAGAACAAATATTAAAAAAATAGCCACGGCTAGATAAGACTTACATGCAATGTTGTTGTCTTGATAGGATGAATTCTGCCATCAATCATAAACTGCTTGAGTTTTTCAAATCTTAAAACTAAAAAATCTTCTAACTATGAAATTTCATCCTAAACTACACTCACTTTTCACCATCGACAAGCTGCAGTTCCAGAATCATGAAGGCTGCATAGAGAACTGCCTGAGATTCACCTTAATAACGTCAACAGCGTGGGAATTATACATAAAAAACCCTACTAAATAATCTTACCTATAATCTTCGAGAACCATTCAACCAAAGTGAGAAAACTGTGACTGATTTCTGTTTGTGCTACTCGCCAAGCATCCATAGCACCTTTACGGGACGCAAATACCATGCGTAAGCCTGAGTTCTTTGTATGCTAAAAAAGATGAAAATCGGCAGATTAAGAGAATGTTTTGGTCATCTTTGCCCTTATTTTATTCATTCTAATGCTAACTATCAAGTTTAAAAATGGAGCAATATTGATAAATCGAGAACAGCTTAGCAAACTATAAAACAGTTTCAAAACTGAAGATGCCCACCTAGTAATAGGTTGTCTATGTTGACAAGAACTTTTTCAAGGAAATGATTGAGGACAAAACACGAAGCAAGGCATGGCCATAACTGTAGGCGACTATCCTACTACTCTCACTATTTTCTCTCCCTAAACTCAAGGTTTGCATATTTAATTTGCTATCAATATTCGCTGTAACCAATATGTTGTTATTACAGACCTCTGACTTATCAAATACTTTTTTCTATACTTTTCTATCTCTTCCGTAAACACATATTCAAGAGTTTCCCAATAGCGACTGAAAATACGATACATGTAGTCAGTGTTAAGAGAAGACATATGTATGTAGCATCAGCTATTTAGAAATCACACCGAACTCATTTTTATTCGCA